ATCCATGTTATTGTTGTTATTATTACCGTAGTGCAGAATCAGATGTGCTTAGTCGTTAAACAGACGCAGCTGTTGTCACAGAACCAGCAGAGAGGCAGCAGCTGCTTCAATGGAGAGAAGCCCCGTTTCCCACTTAACATACTCGCCAACTCAACTCTGTGACTACCTTTGTAAACTGTGGAGTGCAACAGTGGTCGATTAACTTCAGTCCCCCCCATCATTTTCAAGGACTCAAGGAAATTTTATTCTCATTCACAGCACATGGGTGCATCAGATGGAACTACATTTTTGTTACTCGGGTCTTTGTTAAGGGCAGGAATAATAATAATTAACTGTAATTAAATGACATTGACTGTGATAGTGTGATTCCAGCTTTGGTTCTTTCACTCTTAACCCTGATCCAGGATTAAAGACGTTCAGGCGTCTTTGAAAGTGTTAACAGAGTATTCAGTGATTTAGCTAAAAAACGAAAACGGTGTTCTGAATCAAAAGGTTGTAAATGCAGTGCGATGTAGTTTCATGAATTAAAACGGCAGCTAATGAAATCCTGTTTTTGTGCTGTTTTCAGTGAGAGTACAACCTTCAGATGAACAACAGGCTTCTGCCGAGCATCACGGTGTAGTCCCCAGTTCAAGAGTTGAACCTTCTAATCCTAATCCACAACAGGACCAGGAAGTAACAACCAACACGAGGCGTCCCAAGTCTGACAAATCAAAGGAAAATTTTTTTTATGGTAAACATTAGCAGACACTCCTGCTTTGTTGTTTTCCTTATCTAAGGCATTTTCATATTTTTTGAAACGCAAACTCACAAGTGGTTTAAAAATTAAAATATCAAGTTAGTATTATTAAATTAAAATAATCTGATGATGATGAAGAGGAGAAACTGAGAATGTTAGTTTATTTTTTTTTATATTTAGAGGTAAATGTTGCACAGTGCAACTTGAATATATAGAGATAAAGTAGTCCCCTCGCTACTTCGTGGTTCAACTTTCACGAACTTGCTCTAGCGCGGTTTTTCAAAATAAGATTGGACATGACACACAATTGGCTGATTGATGGATGAGCCGCACAAGCAGGATGGATGTTTTATAAAAATATATTTGAAATGATTTAGCACCTGCTGCACCTGTGTGCAGCCCACAGGTGCAGGGAGAAGCTCCCTCCTGCAGCCTGTCATGATCTCTGCTGTCTGCCACCTGCCAGTGATTGCAGCGGAGAAGTGGGCGTGGCTGAAAGCGCTGGCAGGTGGCAGAGTGCGGAGACCATGTCTTTCTGTGCTCTTTTAGAATGTTTAGCGTTTAGAAACATTGTTTAGAATACTTTAAGAATACTTTAAGAGTGTGTGAATGGTTTAAAATGCCTTTATATATATATATATATATATATATATATATATATATATGCCGCATGAAAATCAAAAATCCAATATGGCCACCATCACTACTTTTTAATGGATTTAACTCAGCGCCGTTTTTACACATTCAGAGCTGAAATTTGGTGAAGTTATAGCTGAGAACGTTCCCTATCCTAAACTGCATCCAACTCAAAAATCCAAGATGGCCACCTTAGCCTAAAAAAGGATAAAAATACGACAATTCATGCATTTTTGGAGTTCAACTGAAATTTGGTACAGTTGTAGCTGACAGAGAACCCAAATATATAGTACTGTCCCATCAAGTAGTAGTTTTAGTATTATAAAAACATTTAAGTCTGGTCCTCTGGACATTCAAAAAACAAAACAAAACTGTTGTAACGTTACGTCTTTCATCCGAAAGACTTCTTCACTCTGAGGTGCTGTAATTCAGCTCAGTCTCTTAAATAGCACCTTCTCAGAGTGGATCAACCAGTTTGCTGCTGACAACCAAAACCAGCTGATCACATGATCAATATTTTCCATCGTTAGGTTGATGGTCCTTCTTGAGCATGTGATCAGCTGGTTTTGGTTGTCAGCAGCAAACTGGTTGATCCACTCTGAGAAGGTGCTATTTAAGAGACTGAGCTGAATACAGCACCTCAGACTGAGGAAGTCTTTCGGATAAAAAACAAAAAAACAAAGTTCAGTCAGGTCCTGTGGACGGTTTCTTTTAATGTTGAAACGTTTCGCCCTTCATCCAAAGGACTTATTCAGTTTGAGGAGCCACAACAACTCAGGACTGATGAAGTCCTTTGGATGAAGGACGAAAAGTTTCAACACAAAGAAACCGTCCAGAGGACCTGACTTAACTTTGTTGGATTTTTTTTACCTGGATTATTGAGCATGAACTTTGAAGAAAAGACAAGTTTCAATCTTTAAAAAACTCCTAAATTTAACTTTATGCAAATCTGACTCACAAATCAAAGGGAGTTGAGTTATAGGAGCTTTATTGTTCTGTCCAAATTAAGTTTGTCACAACTTGACAAAACCAAAAATGAATGAATATTGACTGGGTTTGATATCAGATTAAGGAAGGTCGTATGCAGTACTTTACTAATTGTTCTTTATTCCCACAGTGTTGGGTTACAGAGCTGTACAAAGATGGAACGAGGAAGAGATTCGGGCCGTAGAAAAACACCTGATGAATTTCATCGAAGAGTGCAGGTACCCTCTGAAAGTCGACTGCGTTCGCTGTGTCGAGGCTGAGCCGCACGCTCTGAGGAACCGCTCGTGGAGCATCGTAAGGGAGTACGTCAGAAACAGGATCAGATTTATCCAAAGAAACCGTGGCCCTCAAACGAAGCCGAAGAAGAAAAGATTCAGGAAAAAGAAATCAAAGCTGCAGCTTGGATAAAATGATGTCAATACAACAAATTTTTTTTTTTTTACAGCTTTTTCTCACTGGACTAAATTTTTGGATGTTAGTAAAATGTTGCTATCAGTGTTTTTTATTTTTATTTTATTCTTTCAGCTGCTCCCGTCTTCAGTGAACTAACTCGCACGAAGACGTGGCGATTATTTTTACGCCGGATGTCCTTCCTGACACAACCGCAGACCACCGAGCTGCCACAGCTCTGTGTGGAGCGGAGAGCTGCCATCAGGGCGCCCCGGGGAGCAGATGAGGGTTAAAGGCCCAGAGTGGGGCAAATGAGGGTGGAGGCAGGTGTGGGTGCCTTTCTTTTTCATTTCACCTTTATTTAACCAGGCATAAACATTAAGAACAGTTATTTACAGTGATGATGTCGGTCCGGGTGGTTGAAGCTTCCTAACGCTTCTCTAACCTCTGCGCCACCCTTCCCCTAGTGTCGGTGTCTTTTTAAACGATTTAAACAGCTGCCCGAATGTCCTCTTAACGATTCACCGGAAATTAAACGTGTTTGTGCAAGCGTGTTCGCTGCAGTTTATTTGTTTTGGTCATTAAAAGCTCTAAATGTTCCAGATAGCTTACACTTTAGCTTTATAGCAGCTAAATGGAGCTAGCATGCAAACATCCCAAAGCACGTACATATGTTTTGGTTGACGGAGTAAATATAGTGAGTTTATTTGTTTATTTTTGAACTTTTGAAGTTGCAACGTTTGATGACATTCCAACTATTTTTTTTTGGACACAAACAAAATTAGTTTCAATACCAAGTTATTGATACAAACCTTGAAATCAGTAAGAATTATCTAATGAACGCGGCTTCTTTGTATTGCATCTTAAATATTTTGCATATATTTTATTACTAATTTTTAAAGTCTGACATAATACACGAGGAAACGCAAAAAGTGTATTTTGTTCTTAAGCAAACCTTTTAGTGACAAATACCCTAAGAACATCTGGATTATACTGGTTGTTTCCCAAATTAAACTAGATTAGTGGTTTCCAAACGTTTTTGCTTCCAACACAAATGATGGCGACAAATGCTGAGACCTCATTAAATTATAACAAGGATATATGGTATACAGTAATTATACAATTATATATATTCATAATTATTTCCTTATAGTAAAAATAAGTCAGAAAACATTTTAAATCCAAGTTAGTACTTAGATCAGTGAAACCAGTTTTCCAGTTTTGTCTTTTCAAAACAGAGAAGCTACAATTTGCTTTATTTTAGAACATGCTTTAAAAAATTGCCAACTTTAGAAATAAATTTCAGTTTAAAGAAGTTTTGTGATTTGATTTTTTTTCCCACTTTATTTCCCAGAAGCTATAAAACAGATGCAGCTGCTTATGAAGTGGTTCCCAAAAGAACGGTCAGGAACTCATTATGGGTCGCAAAATGTTAACGCTATGGTCTTGAGATTATTTCAAAATGCAACAATAGATTTAAAAATTGATTGTAATTTTTCCTTTGTTTATTTGACCTTGTTGCGATGTTTACCTTCTTTAACCAAAGATGGATGGAGTCACAAATTCCTGTATTTACCTGAACCACTGAAAGAGAAGATGTTCACAGCAACACGTGCCATGTTTTTATATTCTCTCCTAATCTTTGTTATTGTCAGTGTCACTGGATGGAGTGGATGGAGACAAGTTTCAGGAGTGATTTGTGACAAAAGTGCATCAGCAAAGGTCAAAGGAAACGTTTAAGACAGTGGTGAGACCAGCTATGTTGTATGGTCTGGAGACAGAGACGTGGACAAAAAGACAGGAGACAGAACTGGAAGTAGAAATGAAGATGTTTGACACGGATGGATAAGATTAAGAATGAGATCATCAGAGGTACAGCAAAGGTTGAACAACAGGGAGATGGACATGTCCAGAGGAGACAGTGGGACAGGATGTTAGAATGCAGCTGCCAGGGAAAAGACAAAAGGAGATAAATGGATGCAGTTAGAGAGGACATGGAGGTGGAGTGAGGACAAAATGCAGAGGACAAAATGAGATGGACGAGGAAAATCCAAAAGAAGAAGAATCTTTGACATTGTGTTTGCAAAATAAACTGAATCAAGATGTCTAGAAAAAAGTTGGTAATCCGTTTTAATTTGCAGTCACTATTAATCTATACAAGTTTGTAAAAATCCTAAATTTCAAGTCATTTTCACGTTCGCGTTTTAATTTGTAGAAAAGCTATGCTTTTATTTTGAAGAAAGGAAAACGGAAGTGGAGTGTCGCGTTAGCTCGTCGTGGGAATGTAAAGAAAACATCGGCCTCTTATCTGTGGGTATGTTTTCACGGCTCATTCCACACGTCATTTAATGCACTTCGTCTTAAAAAGCCCGTTTCTTTTGCAGCTTTGTGGTTTTAAGTCGTTAAAAATGTGAATATTTCCGATATCGCGCTTTTTTTCCCCCCCTTTAGCCTGTTAGCAGCTAATAGCTAGCTAAGATCTGCAGCGAAATCACTTCTTGTACCAAAATAAACAATTAACAGTGCAATCATTTAGCTGCAAGTTGATTTGGATTGAGGAGTAATTTAGTATTTTCTCTTGACATACTGTTAACCCAACACGAGGAGCAACATATTTGATCATAAATACCGTTTCTATGGACGAATTGATGATTCTGCTGATTTCACTTGTAGGTTTGCTCACTTAAAATAACTGTTTGTCTCTAACGTGCTGTTTTTATTCTTAATAATGACAGTCAATATTGACTGAAAGCCCAGAAAAACGTGCTGCACATTTTATTTCCGTTTGATCGAGGACTATTTACAACCCAGCCTGAATTATGACCCACAGTTTGGTTAATATGTGCTGAATTACATGAATCATTTTATCTTAAGGTTTGCCATTTTTTATATATGTCTCCTTTATTTGCCTTTTTGTGTTGAGACATTTACCTTGAGATTACAGTAAATAGTTATTTGAAATGTATTTAATAGCAAATATGCAACCTCTGTTAAACAAAGTAACACATGTATAACAATGAATTTATAAGGTAATAAATACATTACAAAATAAGTGATGATCTTTATGGGAAAAGAGAATTATTTTACCTGACACTATTGCCTTTGACTTGTAATTTAATTCTTATTTAACTGAACTTGTGTATAATTTCCAAAACTGCATCAATACATTTGCACCACGTTTCATTCATCTGGATACGCTGGTGAAGATTCTCTGTCATGGCAACTTCAAACCAGTTTAAAAGCAAAACCAACCGGACTTTATTTTTAACTGAAGACGTTTCGCTTCTCGTCCGAGGAGCTTTCTCAATTCAAAGGGGTTATAAAGCTGAGCTAATCTAGATGCATCTGTAGATTGCCCTATGAATCCTCACAGTAGGGGTTCATTAAGGTCTTTGTTAGTCTGAACCACTCTGGATAGGAGGTCTGAAAATGACTGGGTATCAGGCCTAAAGCTGCATTAGTTGAAATCTGAGACCACCTGCTCTGTTTAAAGGTGGTCTCTCTCGTTTTACATAAATACCGGTCGCTTCCTTCACCCCTCTCTCAAGCCATCTGTCTTCTCGGTCCAAAATGTGAACATTTTGTTCCTCAAACGAGTCCTTGAGGTGTAGGTGAACCGCAGAGTGTTGTCCTGAAGATGTCCTGTGTTGAGCCATGATTTATAACTTGAACCCCACACCATGTTCTTTAACTTGAGAAAGCTCCTTGGATGAGAAGCGAAACGTCTTCGGTTACAAATAAAATCCTGTTATGATTGATTGATTTATGATATATATATATGTAGTCTTTAACTTTTTAATTTTTTAAATGCGCTGTTATGAGCAGTCCAGTCGTACTTGGCCATTTTCAGTGGAAGGTGTTTGTTTTATCTTATAGTTTAAACCACTTGACCAAATTCTATAAATCATTCAAGCATAACAAAAGCATCCAATTCACTCAATGAGCCATTTTTATGTCAGAATCAGAACAAGCTTTATTATCATTGTACCGAGATACAGTGAGATTATGTTCGTACAGTCGTCATAAAGATGGGCGCAGTGCACGTTGCTGCTGCTCCTGAGAGCGCGGCCCCTTATCCTTTTTCAGAATACTTAGATAGAAAAGGGGAAAAGGCCATGAGGAGAGGATATTGGTATTACAAAAAAAGATCTCTTCACATTTTGCCCTTATCAGGACAATATTTAAGACATTAAAAAAAAAAAAACCTAAAAACTAAACATTTAAAATGTGGTTTTGGAAATTCAGTTGCTTGTTGCAAACCTTTGCCTACGTTTTTAGTTGAATCTAAAAAAGACAATAAATAAATAAAATACTGGTAAATAAAATACCTGGCAGAAAATCTTTTAAGCTGGTCAGACACTGCTTGATTAAGTTTTTTTTTTACATTAAGATGATTTCCAAGGGGTTATTGCCTAAACATGTCAGATCTTGTCTCGGGTTTTGTGCAGATTTTAAACGTTTTCCTTCAGAAATCTTGCAGTGCTAATGCTCAATAACACTTAAATACAACAAAAAATACTGTTTTATTGGAAACAAGTAAATGAAATTATGCAGTGCATGCACAAGGTGATGTCTGAGCAACATTTAAGGCCTACAATTTCTGCTGGTGCTTTTTTTTTCTGTTAGGACACAGCTACAGAAAAAAGACACCCCAAGCAACAAACCGGTTGCTGTTGGAAAATGGACAACTCGGCAACAAATAAAAACCACATACCTTTTCAGACATGGGTAAACCATGGCCATGGCTGGCCCACAACTTCTACGCAAGGACTTGGCATCAACCCACACACCAACTCTCAGCATCTCGGTCTGAACTTGTCGTCTGATCAGCAACTATTGTACAACCACCCTCAGGCGTCCGGTCAGAGCTGCACGAACAACATGAACACCAACAGTCACAGCGCTGCCCCTCACATGTCCAACTTGAATTTGCCCAACAACGCTGCTGCACTCGGTGCTTCTCACCTGATGTCTTTTGCTCAGCAAATTCCTCCCACTTCATCCATGTGGGTAGGAGCAAACCGAGGGAAAACTATCCCTTCATTATCTCTTCCCCAACCAAACCAAGGACCACAGCCCTGTTCCTCCCAGCACTTCCCACCTCTGCCAGCCAGTAACTCCTACAAAACCTTTCCTGATCAGGCGGTAGCTGATCAGTCCTTAAATCTGCCATCGTGTGGGATGAGTGCAAATATGTCTCAGGCAACATTTGGAGGACATAGTAGAGAGCCGACAGGTGTTGATGAATCCTCTCACAGCTACGACTCATCTACTTCCCAGGAGCATCCCCAGTGGATGCCCTCATCACAAAGCAATGGTAAGCTGTACTTTTAAACTGCTGTTTGTCATTTATCACCAGTCGTCAAACAATCAAACATCCCGAGCTTGATTTGATCTAAACCACAGATCACTTCAGCTTCTTTTTTTTTTTTTTGTTGCTATTTTCTTTTGTGTGAAAAAGTTATGAGGTAAATGTTTGAGTGGAAGCAGTTAGGACTGATAGGTCTTTTATTAATCTGCCTAGTTGTCTGTTGCTGTTTTCAGAAGCTGTCAATGAGTCTACTCCAGCTGTTCCTGTCGACAACGAGCCATCACAGAAGGTAAATATTCCTTCATTTATAAGGAGATTACCATCAAACATGACACTGACGTCTGATTTTTTTCAGACTAGCGCAGTGGTTTCCAACCTTTTTACTGCAGCTCCACATTTACCGGTGCATCAACTGAAAGCTATCAGACGCATCTGAGTGACAAAATAATAATTAGCTAGTTTAAAAATCTATCTTATTTATTGGTAATATATTCCAGATAAGTTTTCTTTATATACATTTTAATTTCAGGCTAGGGGTGGGCGATATGGCTCAAATATAATTTTATTTTATTTTTTAAAATAATATCGTGATATTTCAGAGCATTCTGACGATAACGATAAATTTCGTGATATAACAAAAAAAAAAAAAAAACAGAAATCATAGTTATTCATTTGACAAAATGAACTTGTTGCTTTGCAGTATTATATAAAAACAAAAAAACAAGGGTTAATTTTACTGCAATTACTTTATTTAGTAAAGTATTTTGTCTTAGAATATAAAAATAAAAATTATCCTTCTGTTATTTAGATTGAAATAGTCTACACAAAATATAGAACAAAATCCACCACAAAAACTAAAGTGCAGGTGCAGTTCCCGAATAAGCTAAATAAAATTAAAGCTTAAAATCTGTTGAGCATAAATGTAACATACAACAAAAAAATTGTTGCCTTTAAATGAGCTATAACTTCCAAAACTTGTGACAAATGCTGAAGACAAATGAAATGCTGCCTGAAAGGACTGATGATCAGAACCATCAGCCAGTTTCCTGATCCTCAGGAAAGTAGCTGGTCTCGAGGTTTGAGCTGCACAGTTCCCGGTCCGCGGTCCGACTTGACCTTAAATCTGTGGTTGATGCATTCAGTGTTTCCCCTACCATTGTACAAGCAGGGTGCCCCGCCGCGTCAACAGAACCGAGCTGCGTGCACCCCCGCCCCACCCACCTGCACTGACGTAACTCCAAGTTAGCAGCGCGCTAGCTAAAAAGCTAAAAGCACCGTGTTCCGTCACGCTCAACCTTCACGCTGACCGTCTCAAAAACTGTCGGGACAAACTGCTCAGCTCAGATGTCTCCGTTCATGCCTTCATCGCAGCGTAATCTGCTGCGTGGTGGCATGATTATGAAATTAGCACATCATGATGTCATTAATTTTCCCAGGCCCGTTTTTTTTTTACCGGTATTATCGTGAACGATATGATATGGCCCAGCCCTATTTCAGGTGTGACTGCACAGTCAAACTCTGATGTGGACTAAAAAAGCGAACTCTGCTCCTCCTAAATACCTAGGTCTCAATACGGTTGAACTGAACTCTACAGCGGTTTGAATGCATTGTGAATGCAAGCGACCGCTCCAAAAGCAGGAAGTGGACTACAGTGCAGGGCATTCTGGGTAAATACAACCAAAACAAACGTACGTTTCTCATACAGAGCCGTCTCAGCCACCTTGTGTGAAAAACAACATTCTCCATGATCTTCTGCCTCATCTTCAAGGATTCAAGGTTCTTTATTGTCATTCACATGTGGTACATGAGGTGGAACGAAACTATGTACACAGGTTCCCAGTTACATTCAACAAAAATACAAATTGTAAAGAAAAACAGTAGTAAGATCCAAAATATGAACTAAGAAATATGCCAAACTGTCTACCGGTAGGTCTTCTGCTCATGCTGAGTCCGTTGTTGAAAAATGTTTGTTTGGCACATGTGCCACTGACAAAACAGTTAAGGTTTGTTTCATAAATATCTGTAAAGTCCAGTAAAACAGGAATGCATTGCCCCCTGATGCATGCTACAAGTCGTATGCACAACATTTTGACTTGTCTTTGTTACTGTTAAAGCCTCGTGTGCAGCTGGAACCACCGGCTTATGTTCCTGCATCATATGGACGCTTCTTGCTGTTTGCAGAGATTTGAAGAATCATTGATATACCCGTCTACTACACACTAACATTTTCAATTCTGTTTTCTTTCAGCCTGTTGGTAAAAAGAAGCGTTCCTTAATTCTAAATCTACGCACACAACTAATTAACCAGCTGGAAAACGTTAATAAACTTGTAAGTTTAAGGCAGTGAGATAATTATTATTTTGTTTTGCTTTGTAATTTTTTATTTCATAAATACCAGAGTCGGATAGTTGATGTAATTTTGTTTTAGTTTATGCTGACCTTTTTATGTTTCTCCATTAAGTTGGAGTCTCTGCCTCAAGATGCTGGTAATGATGGGCAGGCATCCAACAACGCATTACAGGTGGGTTAAAATTTTATACCTTGTGGTTTAACTTTAATACTATTATTATTATATTGTACTTAAATAACACGTGAGAAACACAGATAACAGTAAAACTCACCACTCATTGAGAATATGTGTCACCTTCCTGTCAGCAGACTGAGGCCAGTGATACACAAGAAGAAGAGGTAACTCAACTTTCAGCTACAAATTATTAAGAGTGACTGCATCTATTGACTTTTATGGTTTTTCTCATCTGGTTTTTGACTGTTATATTCCTGTTTTCAGTCTCGAGTTTCAGTTAACGGTGTATCTTCTTTGTCAACAGAGTATGTCTGATGAGCCTGAAGAGCCAACGTCACCAGCTGAATCAGAGGTAGGTACCTTTAATTTTTACTCTTCGTCAAGTCAAGTCAAGTCATCTTTATTTGTAGAGCACAATTTAAAACAGATAAACTGTTATCAAAGTGCTTAACAGAAATGTAGCAAAACATAGGCAGCAAAACAAAAAAATCATACAGAATTAAAATTACTGGAGCAATAACACACACTAATGATCACACTAAGGAAAAACAAGCAGTAAAAATAAACGTCAATCATAAAACAACAGAATTTAAAATGAGGTACACAGAACAAAATAAACTAACTCACACAGTATTAAACGCCAGAGCAAACAGGTGCGTTTTAAGGAGGGATTTGAACATCAGGAGGGAGGAGGCCTGCCTGATGTTGAGGGGCAAGTTGTTCCACAGGTTGGGACCTCTGACTGAAAAAGCTCAATCCCCTCGGAGCTTCAGGCGTGATTTTGGAACGACCAAAAGAAGCTGGTCCGATGATCTCAGGGCCCGAGACGGAACATATGGTTCCAGGAGCTCGGAGAGGTAGAGGGGTGCGAGGCCATTTAGGCACTTATATGTCAGGAGGAGAATCTTGAAGTCGATTCTGGATCGCACAGGAAGCCAGTGAAGGGAGGACTGAACAGGTGTGATGTGCTCAGACCTACGTGTACCAGTTAAAAGCCGAGCAGCTGCATTTTGGACGAGCTGGAGACGTGAAATGGACGCCTGACTGACCCCAGCATAAAGTGAGTTACAATAGTCCAGGCGGGTTGTGATGAAGGCATGGACTAATGTTTCAAGGTTGGGTCTGGATAACACTGGCTTGAGCTTAGCTACCTGCCGCAGTTGGAAAAAACTTTTCTGCAGAACTGAACTGATCTGTTTGTCAAACTTAAAATCCGAGTCAAAAACCACCCCGAGATTTCGTCATCCTTAGCAGTTCAGCTTTGGAATAAATACGTTAGCTTTTTGTTATTTATTTAGCATTTCATACTTGCACCGAACATTGCCGTTTGCCCTTATTGTTACAGTCACAAGTTGCATTTATTATGTTTGGACCATCAGCATATATTATAATACTAGACCCCTTATGGGATCCCAGAAGGGGGAACAGTGTCCCCATGGATAGTAAAGGTTCTAAGTTCTGCCCACTCCATGTAAATAAATGGGGTTTTGTCATCATTATGAAAAAGAAACACACCTCAGATATATTTTTTACAGTGTTATCTCTTTTTGATTTATGGAGTTCTATCTTGTTGCTGTATGTTCAAACATTTATTTTTCAAACAGGGTTAGCTGCAATTAATTAGTTCATATTTAAAAGAAAGGTCACATGACACCATGATTGTGCGTGAGGATGCAGACGGGACTTAAAGCCCACATCCTTAGTGCACAGACTCTGAGGTCCTTCCGGCTTCAGTTCTCAACAGCCAGAGAAGGCGGTGACATTTGGTCTAGTATTATAATATAAGTTGATGGTATGGGCTCTCATTAGGCTTCCAGGCGGTTTAAGTTTCTTATATCATTATTACACTGCCCCCCAAAAAAGTTGCCATAAAAAAAAAAAGGTCACGCACTAATATTTCGTTGGACCTCCTTTAGCTTTGATGACATCATGCATTCACTGTGACATTGTTTCGAAAAGTTTCTGCAAAGTCACAAGATCTGTTTCCATCCAGTGTTGCATTAATTTTTCACCAAGATCTTGCATTGATGACTAGGCACTAGGCATGATGGGTGCATCACTTCACCTGCCTCTCTTCTTACCCTGATGCGCCCATCACTCTGGAACAGGGTCAATCTGGACTCATCAGACCACATGACCTTCTTCCATTGCTCTAGAGTCCAATCTTTATGCTCCCTAGCAAACTGAAGTCTTTTTCTCCAGTTAGCCTTACTGGTTAATGGTTTTCTTAAGGCTACACAGCTGTTCAGTCCCAATTCCTTGAGTTCACTTCACATTGTGCATGTGGAAATGCTCTTACTTTCACTATTAAACATAGTCCTGAGTGCTACTGTTGTTTTTCTTCCGTTTGATTTCACCAAATAAGTGATCACCGATCACGATCATTCAGGATTTTACATTTCTTCCTCAAAGACGATGGGTTTCCACTATCCTTCCAGTTTTTAATAATGTGTTGGACAGTTCTTAACCCAATTTTGGTAGTTTCTGTAATCTCCTTAGATGTTTTCTCTGTTTGATGCCGATGATTTGACCCTTCTCAAACAGACTGACATCTTTTCACGACCACGTGATGCGTCTTTCAACGTGGTTGTTTAAGAAATGAGAAGCAACTCATTGCACCAGTTGGGGTTAAATAACTTGTTGCAGCTGAAAGATCATCACCCATGCAGTAATTATCCAATAGGAGGCTCGTACCTATTTGCTTAGTTAACTTCAGGTGGCGACTTTTGGCCAGGCGGTGTATTTTATGAGATTTTTTTCTTCTTCAAATCTCATTATGATTTAATAACCCTGTCGACATCGCAATGAACAGAACAACTATTCGGTGAGAGTCTACGGAGTAAAGGTTTATCTTGGATGGGTTTTGCTACTGTTCTTATTTGCACTTATTGAAATGTACATTTTTACTAGATTTTTATGAGTTAGAACATTTTGTGAATGATGAGTTCTTGAGGACAGAAATTTGCACAGACTGAATTAATACATTTTGCATAATTATCCCTTTCTAAATCTGTCTGTGGTGAATTACAATTTAGCAATTTTAATTTAGGAATAAGTTGATGTTTAATTTTCATTTATTGCCTTTCTTTTACTTTTTTCAGGAAATTCAAGAAAGCTGTAGCGAGTCAGGGGATGACAACGATTCTGATTTCACACCTCAAAATGACGACAGTCTTTCAGATTGTCCGTCTGGAGATGGTATCAACTCTGAGGACGATCATATTGACAGCAGTCCCAAAAGTCCCACGAATGAGACACCAACCACACAGAAAATCAAGGAAGAAGAAGAGGATCCATTGTCCAATGAGAAAAATGACTCTCCTTCAAAAAGGACACCCAAAACAAAGCAGAAGAAGCTCTTTAAAACTATGGTGGAATCAAAGCAGAAAGAAGGGCATTCTTACAAGAGAAATTATTGTTTGTTTTGTTCGAAACCCGTGATCAAAATGTCGAGACATCTTACAAATTCACACAGTTACAAAGCTGAAGTTGCTATTGCTTTTCAGTATCCTGCAAATTCAAAAGAAAGAAAAAACGTTTGGACCAAACTAACCAACCAAGGGAACTTTGCTCATAATAAGGCAGTTTTGAAAACAGGAAAAGGACAACTTGCCGTACGAGTAAGACCCCAAAAAACGACGAAATCAATAGAATTTGTTCCCTGTGTCCACTGCCTTGGTCTCTATAAAAAAAGAACTGTACTGCTCCACATGAAAAGGTGTCCTCTAAAAGACAAGATGGAAGACAAACCAGTGGAGAAAAACAAGCGCGTCATTTCGAGGTGTGCCCTTCTTGCAAAAGGTTGTGATAACCTAAGCGAGGGCTTCAAGGACATTCTGGGCGACATGGTATATAATGAGGTGACAGAAATTATCTTGGATGACCCAGTGCTCATCCAGTTTGGAGAGCACATGTTTAATGAGTCTGGTTTCAACGTGAAAAGCCATCAGTATTTAAGACAAAACCTTCGGCACGTAGCAAGACTCGTGCTCGAGGCTCAAAAGTCAACTCCTATGCAGAGTCTGCAGGATTTCTTTGACCCGTCCAACTTCAGACACGTGGTGTCTGCTGTAAAAGTTATAGCAGGGTACGACCCAGAAAAGAAAACCTACACCCTTCCATCACTGGCTTATAAGCTTGGTTACAACCTAAAGAAGATCTGTGGCATTATAGAGCAGAATGCCATTAAATCTGGTGATACCGAAGTCCAAGAGTCATGCAAAACCTTTCTCTCCTTGTATGAAAATAAATGGAAGAGGCTAGTTTCTTCACATGCTTTGACAGGTATGAGGAAAATTCAAAGAAAAAATGAGAAAATTGTGCCATTCGTCGAAGATGTGAAATGTCTGTACTTCCACATGGAGACAGTTTATCTTCTTGCTGAGAAGAAGCTCAGAGAGAACATTTGTGCAGAAAACTATATTGATTTGGCCAGAGTGGTACTGTCTCAGACAATTACTTTCAACAGGAGGAAATCTTCAGAGGTGGCTTCAATACAAATAAAGGCCTTCATGTTACGGAAAAGATCAGACATCGTTGATGGCATGGACATATCTGTGTCAAACTTGGAAAGAACGCTGTGCGGTTTCTTCAGTAGAGTGGACATCAGAGGGAGCTCTGGGAGAATGGTCCCTGTTTTGCTAAAGCCCTCGTTTGAGTCGGCTATGGAGCTTTTGATAAACGTTCGGGAAGCGTGCGGCGTCCACAGTGACAACCCGTACGTGTTTGCCCGAACCGATAGATTATCGGCCTTCCAAGGGTCACGCTGTTTCCAGAGATACGTTAAAGAATGTGGAGCTAAAAACCCTGCAACTCTGACGCTACTCAAGCTTCGGAAACATTTTTCAACAATGCTACAGCTGATTCACCTGGATGAAAACGAGGCCAGACAAATTTTTGGCCCGAATAATCAGATTCAAGCTCTGCTGCAGAACGGCATGAGTGAAAATACTAACGTGGAGCTTGAAGGTAATCATTTTTGTTCACAGGTAATTCAAGTGTATCTGTATAGACCTGCTGTTAAATTGCAAAGTTCACAGAGGTTGAGTGAACCGTTGGGTTTTTTGCCCTAAGTGGCTTTCCTTTTAGGATTAAGTTTATATAGCATCTATTTCCAACAAAACACGATTGTTTTAGGGTACCATGCCAGAAAAACCAATAGGTCCAATTAAATTCTGTCCAAAACTGGCTTGCAGACTACATTAAGTTTTAGCTTTGATCCAGTGCATGAGACAGTGGTGAGAGTACCTTTCACCTGGTAGAGCCATTGGACAAGTTCTGAACAAAAGGAGCTTAATTAATATCCTTTTCCTCCCTTCTGGCTCAGACTCGCACCCACCCAAAACCAAACAAATCTGGAAGGAGTCAGAGGTTAAGGCCGTTGAAAAACACCTGATGCAGTTCATCACCGAGCAGAAGATACCTCAGAAAGACGACTGCGTTCGGTGCCTAGAAGCTGAGCCACACACTCTAAGGAAACGTTCGTGGAAAGGTGTGAAGAACTACGTCAGAAACCGAATCACAACTCTGCAACGGCAAAGCGGCTTTTCCAAAGATTCATCAAAAACCAGCAACAGGCCCAGGCAGAAGGATCCACAGCAGAGTTCTGGTAACCGCTGGAGATACACTGTCTTCATAACAGTAAAGTTTTCCATCTTCTGAAAAACGAAACCGTTCCAAACAAGTATTTTCTAAGTTAAGTCAACCCTTTTTCCCTCCCATAGTGAGATCGCAACCATCTAACAAACGAGCTGCCACCGAGCATCACGGCGTGGTCTTCACTTCAAGTGCTGAACCAGGAGCTCTCGACCAACAACAAGCTCATGGCGTAACAAGTTACACCAAGACTGCCAAGTCTAACAAAGCAAAAGAAAAAGGCAAGTTATTTGTGACGATAGTTAGCAAACTATGTCTCTTGTTGTGTTTCTTGATTAAAACTACATTTTATACAAGATATTGACAAACTAACCAGATACCTTCTCTGAAGATCAACCAATCACTGGTAATCAGAGGGAACACAAAGAGACACATAGTTTAAATATTAATGTATTTTTAATAAAAAGACTTAGCACTTTTAAGTTATTTATTTGTGCCTTAATGTTAATTATCTCCTGCTGCCAAAAGATGGGTGATAATGTATTTGTCTGGGTGTGTGACATAGAAAAGGTGCATACAATTAATATAAATAGAATCTGTTATTTCATCCACTCATCCATCATCTTCCGCTTGTTCTGAAGTCAGGTCTTGGTGGCAGCAGCTTGAGCATGGAGGTCCAGACATCTCTTTCCACAGCCACCTCTTCCAGCTCTTCTGGGAGCAGTGTTGCCAGATCTCGTGATAGAAACAAGCAACCAGCTCTATGAAAACAAGCCCAACTGGCAACCCACCACGTTGTGTAAAACAGAGGCTGTTTTTAAACAGTGTAAACATCATTTATCATGGCATTACACATGAACAACAGCAAAAATTATGCTAAACACTTTGAATAACATACTCTGATAAGCTCTGATAAAAAAATATGTTTTGCATATGTAATTTTTTAAAAACATTTTTAAAAACAAAACATCCTGACATCTACGTGTGAGTGGAGCCCCCTAGTGGTCGGCCACAGTATGAGTGTTTGGGGTGTGCTGTGTGCGCCTGTCGCCTCGCCAACTTGGGCAGGATCGATAAACATGAAACGGGGGCTTGGAAGGGACGAACTACCTACTACCACTCGTCTTTTGCTTTATTGTGCGGAGCTGGGAGATATTCAACTAGTTTCACTCGGAAAGAAAGTCAAGCCCAAATAAACAACTTCACGTTCAAAACAAAACCAAAAAAAACGCGACTCAACAAGATTTACAAGCGACTTTAGAAAAAGAAACAAGCCCAAAGTCGCTTGTAATAAGCGGACTTGGCAACTATGTCTGGGAGGATTCCAAGGCGTTCCCAGGACAACCAAGAGACATGGTCTCTCCAGTGTGTCCTGGCTCTTCCCCGGGGCCTCTCCCCCGTCGGACACGCCTGAAGCACCTCCCTAGGGAGGCCCACAGGGAGCATCCTTATCAGATGCCCAAACCACCTCAACTGGCTCCTCTTTATGTGGAGGAGCAGCGGTTCTACTCCGAGTCTCTCCCGAATAACTGAACTTCTCACCCTATCTAAGGGAGAGTCCAGCTACTCTGCAGAGGAAACTCATTTCAACCTCCTGTATCTGTGATCTCATTCTTTCAGTCACTACCTAGAGCTCGTAACCAGAGGTGAAGGTAGGAACGTAGACCGACCAGTAAACAGAGCTTTGTCTTACAGCTCAGCTCCCTCTTCACAACGGACCGGTACAGAGTCCACAAGACGCTGCACCAATCCATCTGTCAATCTCACGCTCCATTCTTCCCTCACTCGTGAACAAAACCCCGAGATACTTGAACTCCTCCACTTGAGGCAGAACCTCACCTTCGACCTGAAGAGATCAATCCACCCTTTTCTGACTGAGGACCATGGCCTCAGATTTGGAGGTGCTGATTCTCGTCCCAGCCGCTTCACACTCGGCTGCGAACTGCTCCAGTGAGAGCTGAAGATCATGGCACCATGACACCAACAGGACCACATCATCTGCAAAGAGCAGGAACTGGAGTCGCTCTGCCCCCTGGCTGCACCGAGATATTCTGTCCGTAAACGTTATGAGCAGAATCGGTGACAATGAGCAGCCCTGGCAAAGTCCAACTCCCGCCCTGAAGGGGGTCCAACTTACTACAGGCAATGCAAACCCAACTCTCGCACCACTTGTATAGGGACGCCCCCAATCCCATATTCATGGAGCACCCCCACAGTGTACCTCGAGGAACCCGAGAATCTGTTATTTGAGTTATATAAATGATTCATTGAATTTTAGTAAATACATAACTTGGTTTAAACTCGTTCGTTCTTCCTTTCAGGCTCACAACACAAACCCAAACCTAAATGGAGCGAGGCGGAGGTCCGTGCCGTGGAGAAGCACCTGATGCGTCTTATCGAAGAGCACCGGCTGCCTCAGAAAGATGACTGCATTCGCTGCCTCGAGGCCGAGCCACAAGCTCTGAGGAACCGTTCTTGGAAAGGCGTGAAGGACTATGTCAGAAACCGGATCACGACTCTGCAACGACAAAGCGGCTCTTGCAAGTCTTCATCAAAAACCAGTGACAGGCACAGGCGGAAGGAACCACGGCGGAGCTCTGGTAATGGCTGGTAATAGTAGCTACAATCAAACTGATCATCTTTAAAAGAAGTATACTACCGTTTTATTCTTTCTGCAGTGAGGTCACAACCTTCTAACAGACAGGAAGCTGTCTCAGAGCATCACAGCACGAGCTCCTGTTCAAGCTTTGGACCAGAACGTCTTAACGAACAAGTGCATGAAGTAACCAGCAACAAGACTGCTCCTTCTAAATCTGGCAAATCAAGAGAAAAAGGTAATTATTTATGGTGATCGTTAGTCTTTACGTGTCTGTTGCTATTGCTTTAACACATTAATTCTTTTTTATGACCTCTGCAGTCTCGAATCCTAAAACCAAACATAAATGGGATGAAGCGGAGGTTTCCGCCGTAGAAAGGCACATGATGCGTTTCATCAAAGATCACAAGCTGCCTCAGAAAGACGACTGCGTTCGGTGTCTCGACGCCGAACCGCACGCGCTGAGGAACCGCTCGTGGAAGGGCGTGAAGGACTACGTCAGAAACCGGATCACAACCGCGCAAAGACAAAGCAGCTTTTCAAGAAGCTCGTCCAAAATCAGTAAAAGACCCAGGAAGGAGAAACCACAGCAGAGTTCTGGATATTACCAGCAGCTGTAGGTGGAAACTGGAGCTAAAGTGGCCAAAACTGGTGAAATGTTTCTGTCCTCACTGCTCTTTCTCTCTTTTTTACATATATTTTCTTGTTTTTACTCATTATTCCTTCTCTTTTTGGAAAAAACATATGGTTTCAGTGTAAATAATGTTATTTCAGTGTGATTTGCAAGATTTTTAATCAAGTTCATTTAATAAGACAAAGTTTAGAAATATTAACATTGTATTGAAAGTTTTACAATTTTGTTGCCACTGGTGGTTCTTAAGGGACCTTTTTTATTTTTAAGGAAGTATACAATTACGGTAGGTAACCTGGTTTGGTAAATTGACATAAAACACGTTTTACTTTGTATAGCCACATAAAAAAAAAAAAAAACGGTTCCAAGAATAGTGTTGTCATTTCTAATCAAAAGTTTTCAGTATTTCAGAACTGAAAGCACCTCTTGTAGTGATTCATTAAACTTTATTGTGCTTATAAATCTCAGTGTGTTGTTACTGGTACATTGTAGTGATGCAAGGATGTTTGAAACATGGCTATAACAATAGAAAAATGTTGTTTAAGCAGCTAAACGTTCTTGAACTCTAAAGTTTGGGTACATACTGTACATGGAAAAATATGTTAGCTTTCAGTTTACAATATTTTTCTTTGTTTTAGACCATAAACAAAAACTTTCAATGCTGTTATCAAATACGACATTCAACAGCTTTAACTGGTTTATATATGAATTAGAGGGATAGTGCAAATTTCAGAAGCCTCCTACATTGCATTTACAAAAGATTAATACAGAGGTAATAATTTTGGTGAGATTCTGTCCTGAAAATAAATTGTGTAATTCTAGAGTAACAAGTCTTCCAATGCTGTGTAATAATGAGGTGGGACCACGTCATTTTTTGCAAGTCTCAAGTCTTTATCCTCAAGACGAGCAACTGTTAAGTCCCAAGTCTGAAACTTGGAATTTCAAGTCCTTTCGAGTCTTTTAACAATGTTGCGATGACATCTTAAATGTAAATAATAGACCATGTGTTCTTTTATAAATCTACCGTGCAACTGAACTTACAGTGTTGGTCATTCTAAAATTCCGCCTCTACATTGCACAGTCCAGTTAAATTTAGCTGCAAGAATAGTCTTCCTTTGAACTAATTTTCAAGAATAAGCATTAAGTGAAAAATGCAAAAGCAGAATTCAATGTCCAGACAAAAATATCAAATATTTTCAAGTAGACAGGTCAAAGTTCAATCCAAGTCACTGATGTAAAAGTCCAAATGTTAATGACTCGAGTCAAGTCACGTGACTTGAGTCCACGCCACTGGTTTTGATCACTCCTGTACGTTGATTTTGAAACGAATGCTTTATTATGAAAGACGTTTCATTCATTCACGTGCTCTTATTTTTGCATGCTTTTACTTTGAAAGAGCCAACGGAAACGCGCTAGCTTGGTTCGTGTTTGTAGCAAGCTAACGGCGCAGTTAAATTTAACTCGCATCATGTGGCTGTCACGGTTGATTTTATTAGCTTAAACGTACATTAATTTATGAATAATTTGTTTTCAATTTATAATTGAGCAACAAATGTTTATCAGTTCATCATCTCGGGTGGAAATGGACGGAAACGCTCGTGACGTTGACGTCCTGCTGTTTCCGGCGACAGCAAACGGTATCGAGTTTTATCTGTTTAGTTTTATCTATTTTATCTATTCTCTCTCAAAACAGTCGTTCCTTTTGAACTACATGTGTTTTTATTGTTGTTTATGTTTGTGTGTTCAGCAGGCGTTGTTGCTGCACGAGTAGAGTTAATGTCAGGACCTGCTGATGTTAGCTAGCCGGAAACAAACGGGAATTATTAATTTATTATTTAACCTGTTAAATTGCATGAAATAACAACAGCATAATAACCGTCATGTATTGTTAACAGTGTGAAAATCTCCTTGCATGTAATATTAGGAAAGAGTGTAAAATTAAACGGTTTTCATAAGATGATACACCTGAGAAGAGCACACCTGTCACAGGAACTGTTATTTAAATAAATGATGTAAACACAACAACAAGGTTTAGCACCAGGTTAAGTTCATGCAACTGAACAGTTTGTTTAAAAATTCCACACAAAAAAAGTTTTAATTATCAAAAAATTTGGAGGCTTGTGTGTGAATCAACATTGGTCTGAATAAAGTTTAAGTTTTACAGAATTAACAATAATTCAGTACAATTTAATGTCAGATCTACAGTTTGCGTACTCTAAAATGAGAATTCAACTGAATCTGTCCAAAATCTAATAATGATAGAAATCATGATGATTTGATTGAAGAACGACATTAATTTGATTTAGTTTTCTCAGATTATTTTTTTAAACTGTCATTTGTTTAATGTAGATTTTCACAGTGGCTCTCAGAAAATAATGAAAGAAAATTGAAGGTGCATTTTAACAAACGCAAAGTTTTGAAATCATTTAAGATAACTGTTTCCTGTGTTCATGAAATAATGAAATACATGTTTTTATGTCGGGCTCAGTCTTTTAGACGTTACAAGCACCCAATGTTTTTAGCACAGATGCAAACATTAATTGTACGTACATTGTCCTGTTTCCAGTTATTCTCAGACCAAGTACAAGTACTTCGTTTGGGTTTCTCCCGTAAAGAAACTTGTCCAGATGACATGATTTGTTTTTATCTACCTGGATGATTGAGCTTACAAACCTTTTTCATTTGGGTTCTTGCTGAAACTGCCTACCAACTTCAAGCAGTATCTTAAGATCACCTGTTCTTAAAATATTTCTAAACTATTGACATTTTTTACTTTTTGTCCTTGATTACTTGCAAAGTGGAAGAGGAAATTATGTCACCATGCATAAAATAGTATTGTTTTTTGATGTATCAGGGTGTTTTTATGCGTACTGGTACTTAAGGCTGGTACTGGGCCTGATACCAGTTTTGTATCGGGACACCTCTAATTTAGGGCTGCACCGATTGCAGTTTTCTGGCCGATCACCGATTTCTAAAAAATCTGACCTGCCGATACCGATTTAGTTTTATAAGCGACACTGTCAGGTGTTACAAGGTCACAATGCACCTTCAATTTTCCAACATTATTTTATTGAAAAACATACCCTTGAACAATATCCTGGAACAATACAAACTTGTTTTAACTGGCCATGAGGTAGTGCTCTGAAATATAAATGAAGTTCAGACAATTGTTGTTAAAACTAAAAAAAAAATTGGTTTCTCGTGCAAGTATTGGCTGATTTCCCAAAATTAAGGAAACTAATAAATCGTCCGGCCGATTTATCGGTGCGCCCCTCCTCTAATTGTAAAGTTTGTTCTACTAATGGTTTGTTTTCTCAGCGTAAGTGGCAGACACATTGTGGATATTATTTTTTGTTTTGTTTTGATGGGTATTTTTGTAGTGAGACATTATACAGATAGGAAACAGGTCTTCAAGTCCAATTACAATGTGGACAAAACCCCCAAAACACACCTTCTTGTTTTTATTTGTGAGTAACTTCACAAGAAAAACAACCAGGATGTCAGGTGATTATGCAGGTTGACTTATGCTTCATTTAAAAAATATATTCTGTTTGATCTGTAGGTCCTGGCTCCAATGAGAAACAAACAGATCTTTAATTTTTATGGAGGATGATGGATGCCCCCGCCCCTGATCAGAGTCAGCCCTCCTGTCGGCTGTGGGCGATCCAGAATGGCTGGTCTACAGCTGAACCTCCAGGACCTGTCAACAATCCTCTGCCCAGTTTTCATCAACTCAATCTGGAATCTCTCCCCCACCACCAGACCCCCAGCTTCAACCGTCTGCAGTCACCTAGAAATGACTCCAAGAGTGACTCTGCAGCCTTTTCAGCAACAAACCGCAGCGATTACAGCATGCAGGACGTTAACAGTGCTGATCAGAGTGTGCAGCAAAGCTTTACTGATCCTCTCGTCTCATCCACATTTCCAGCAACAAGCCAAGGAAGGAATCTGCCTCCGTGCTCTCTTCCACTTCTGAATGAAGGGCCGCAGCATTTCAGCCCCCAACAAATGCCATTCAAGTCCCCTCACAGCCCTTACCAGTCATCATCTCCCCAGTTCCAGCCTCTGCACACACATCAGGGCGTCCTGCATGCACCTCAATCACCAAATGAAAATCATCTTCATGTTAGTCCTCCAGTAGTTGGACAATATTTAAACCAGAGGCTTAGCCCTCAGCCTGCATCTGACTGGGTTAATGTGGCCTCTTCATCTGGATCTGATCATCACAAACTTGTCTCACCAGCGTCTCCCATCCAGCACCAACCTCAGTGGATGCTTCCAGCTCACCCTGGAGGTACTTTTACTCATGAACACATGGATGTGGATATTATTGCTTATGTTTCTTTAGAGGAATTAGAACAAACTTCTTCATCAGTTTTAGTCTTAATCACTTTTTAGATGAATTATTCATTCATGATATTCCAACGAAATGCTCATGTAATCACAAATGACCTCATTTGTTAAGTTGTACTAACGATAAAGCTGAATTTTTACTCTTTCACAAAACTAAAACTACATTTTCACATTTACTTTATTTTTCTCTGCAGGAACCAACTTTGATCCGAACGCAGCTCCACAGGATGGAAATCTGACTCCACAGGTCAGACACAAGTCATTTACATTCACACAGATCACAAGAATTAATTCTTGGATTGTTTTAGGAGTAAATGTAATAAAAAAAATCATCATTCTAAGAAAATGATCAGCTATCCAGATGTTAAATTTTTTTTTTCAGCTAAAATCAATAATGCGTTGGAATAAAACTGCATTTATTTTGGTCAGATTTGATGAAATAAAATACTACAAATACAGAACGTTACAGAAGAAAAGGCAAAGTTAAAATGAAACCAGTGAGTTTAAGACATACACATATAAAATATGAAATACTCCCACCACTTCATGCTTTATGTATAGATGCAGATGTTCATTCTGCTGTGGAAGGTTCACTTCTACAGCAAGATTTTCTACTTGGTTTCTTATTAATGGATTCAACATTTTGATAGCTATAAATAAAAAATAAACATCCACCTAGCAAATCTTAGAACAAATTATTTTTTGCTTTTTCTATGTAGGACTTTATGTGATGTTATGTTTCAAAATAAAGGCGGTTTCTTTAAGTTTTTAGTGTAAGACTAATTTCACAGCATAAAATCATCAAGACTTTTTTTTAATGCATTTATTAATTTATTATTTGGGGACAGAGTTGAATGAATCTCTAGTTGTCCAAGTTGTTTCTGTAACAGACTGTTTATTCTCTGCAGTCTCCTAACTCTGAGTCCCGTTACGGCCTTGACCCTAAGCTGTTACCCAGCGCTGTAAGTACTTTTTAAATCTTTTTACTCTTTGATCTTTTTCACTAATTCCAACTAATTTTAGACATAAAATATAGTATTTCTTGTTTGGGTTTTCCAGTTCAGGCCAGCTTTAGATAAAATGATGTGCATCAAAAACGGCAGATATGGAGCTCAATTTGCTGAACAAAAAGCAATATGACAATATAGAGCAGATAAAGATCTAATTATTTTATAGTAGCTAAAATTTTGACTGTTTCACAAGAATATAGCAACTAGACCAGGGGTCTGCAACCTGCGGCTCTGGGGCCACATGTAGCTCTGTGGTGCCTCTTCTCTTTCAGGCCTCGACCAAAACTAAAATAAAACTGAATTTTATTTAAATTATTACCAACAATGAAAATGGCTAGTTTTAGCAGATTTGCTGTCATTCTCAAATACGTGAAGGATAGTACAAATACAAGGCGTAAAACATCTGTTCTGCATCATGCTAGCAGTTTGTTAGCCTCTTTAAGTCGACTTCCTGTCTCAGCGTGATCTTTCTCTTAAAACCAGCAGAATGTTTTGGAATATCTTTAAGACAAGTTGCTGAGCAGGAATATGGTGAATAACTTTGATAATAAAATACAAAAACAGTAAACAAAAATGTTTAATTTTCTTTAAAAATGTAACTGGATATCCAACAAACTGTCCTAATTTTATACCGTCTTTAACTTTATGCTTTAAGTAGTATACTTAATTCTTCAACAGTTAAGAGAAGTCACATTGGCCTGCAGAGTTTTTCATTTTTATAAAATTGTTAAAAATTATATCTTTTTTTTTTCTTTCTTTACATGAATCTGGTCTTTTCTTTTGTATTAAAATGTAAAAATATCAATAAATGTTAATAATAGACATTTTTTGTTTTATAAAATCACCCCCACTGGCCGAGAAAACCATCTCCAACAAACTTGTCGTGGTCCACGGGCCACCAGTTGACAGAACACAGTTGGAGCAGATTTTGCGGCTCCAGACGTAATTATCATAATTAATAATCAAAGTGGCAAAATGTCTCTTTTTATCACAAAGGTTCAGACCCCTGAACTCGATGAACACGAATGTTTAAAAGCAGATCCTGCCTCTTTAGGTTTAGTTAAATCGGACCATAATCTTGTTGGTTGACGAGCTTTTGTATCGTTCTGTGAAGGTGAAGGTGATGGAAGAGGACAAGGCGGAGTGGGAGGGCAAGGTCTTCGTCTCGGAGCATTTTTCACAACTTCCTCCTCTGCCAACTACTCCGTGCGTCATCGAGGACAAAGGTACCTGCACAGTCTCACCTGTGTCATGGAAATGTTACTCCGTTATGGATTTATCCAGTTTCACTGCTGCAGAAATGCATCAACATTAAGTGAATGATCCGGGCCTGATACAGTACCACATGAAGTGATGTCATGCACTGAATGTATTTATAAATACACGCTGTATTTAACTTTATTTACACATCCTATAATGCCCATAAACAATAATAATTGTGCTTTAGCCCACTTGTTCCTGTCACCACAGTAATTTAAGCCCTCTGTTTTATTTGTTGTGTGTTCTGTAGGTAATGCTAGTCCGTTAGCAATCCGCTCCACTACGTACTGCGTGCCCTGTGATGGGCAGACGGTGCTGCTCAGCCGTCTGCCTCTGGGAGCACTGGTTACCCCTCTTGTGAAACAAAAAGCTGGCGAGGTTGGTTTTATTCAAATATGAATGAAACACAACAAAGTCCAATTTAAAAAAAAATTAAAAACATGTTTTCACATAGAAATTTGCATTTAATTTCTGTCTTTTGCTTTTAGGCACCCGTGCCTTTGTGCGACGACACAGACTGTGTTGCTGGTTGCTGTTGGTGCGGTGCGTCGATGTGTCCCGTGATGAGCTGGCAGGACTGTGGGCAAAGGTTTTACTGCCCCTTCTGTGGGAAACTCAGCGAAGGTATGACTTATAAGGGTCTTTAGCTTAAAAGCTTTTATTGCTACAGTGTAAAGTTTACAAACAGCTCAACATTTTTTCATGTGAATCAGGATAAATAAACAATAAATGAACAAAAGTTTTCAAGCCTGTTGGACGTTTTGATCCATGTTTAAACTTACCCGAGTGTCGCTTTCGTTGTTTTCTTGCAAGATTGTTGTACAACACGATTTCTCTCCTTCCTTGTGTTTCAGTGTCGTGGAAACACTACCAGCCTACCAAAGGGGCAGCGGGGGTCCGGGTCGATAAAGACAAAAGACCTGAGCTCAGTTTGGGGTCGTACGAAACACTTCACTCTGAAAGGGTTTGTGTTTTTTCTCTACAGCTTTTATTTTGGTAGCACTGCACCTGTTCCGTTTCTGGTCTTTGTCAAATATACACAACTGTCAAGAGGCAACAAAATGTCATTATTTGTCTTGTGCGCTCAAGTTTCTTTAATTTCTAAGTTATTGTAAGTTTGATACTTTTTAAATTGTAGTTGTGTTGAAGCGTTTGTTGTGCATCTTTCAGCAGGGGGAACCTGCTGCGCTGCTTTTAGCAATAGACGTGTCTGCCTCAGCACTGAGAGGCGGACATTTAGAGTTTGTAACACAACAAATACACACTTTGCTGGCCTCTTTACAAAAGTAAGTCACACTTTTACCTCAGTGTAAACAAACACTTTCTGGTCTGCCTTTTTTGTCTTTACGAGTCTTTAAGGTTTCGTCTTATTTTTGAAGGGAGGAGGGTCATCCTTTGTCAGACGTCCATGTTGGTTTGATAACGTACGACAGCAGGGTCCACCTGTACGACCTGAGTCCAGACCTGTCCCGCCCTCACATGCTGGTGGTCACAGAGACTGAAGACCTGCAGCTTCCTGTGAGGGCGGGGCTTCTGGTGTCCCTCAAAGACTGCTCAGAAAGTCTCAGCAGGTAACGCAGAGGAAGTGCTTTAAAGTTTAGTTTATAGAGAAGCGCTGTTCGTGTGACTGATCACAGCTTTGATTAAAGAGTCTGTCGTCCGTCTTTGCAGCGTTTTGCAGCTCATTCCTCAGTTCAGTGCAGAGAGTGACGAGTCCAGTGGAGTTTCCATCCAGCTTCCTGTTAGAGCCGGGCTAGCTGTACTGCAGGTGGGGCAGCGTTTCACAAAAAGACTTTATACTGTTTTTAGTTTACTTAGCATTTTATGCCTTTTATAATTAAGGCAGAAATCACAATTGTGATTGTTGTACAAATCGTAGGGTCTGAAGTGTACCGGGAAGCTGTTGATCTTTCATTCTGCTGCTCTGATGGAGACAGGAAACACAAACTCTGCCTCAGGGTTCTTTGGCACCAACAAACCAAAGGTACACGGAGGGGAAACGCAAACGGTGCCGTCGTTCTTGATTTCCTTCATGTTTCATAAGTTCTGGTTACTTTTCTCCCCTCCTTTGTTTGTCTCAGACAATCTTTCAGCCATCTGAACAAGCCGTCTCATTGGCTAAGGAGTGCGTCGACCAGGGATGCGGCGTTCACATGTTTGTCCTCTCACAGCAAGATGTGGGCGGGGCTTGGCCGGGACACGTTCCTTACCTTACAGGTGGAGCCTTGCACACCTACAGCTACCTCCAGGTACACTCGCTGAGGGAGGAGCTCAGAATGGGACGTTTGCGTTGAAGATTATAGAACTCAGAGAGCTGATCGTTAACTTTAAGGTGACAGCAGCTTCCAGGATTAGAGTATTGAAGTAAACGCATTCATGTTTTGATTTCCTGTTTTATTTCTTCTCTTCATTTGCGTTTTACTTCTGCAGACGTTTTGCTGTTTTAGCCACTCATTTATCAAATAGTTCAAAAGATGGGTGCAAGGACTTTTTGTTCTAGTAAATTTTATACTTTTCAAAATATTTAAGTTTATTTACAAATATTTCACCATAAAATACTCTGAGCTCTCCTCAGTTCCTTTCAAAACTTTTTTTTTTTTTCAAGTCTACTTCAGCAAACTGGCTCTTTTTTTTGTTTTATGACTTAACTTTTAGCTACAGTTCTGCTACTTTTAGCTTACAGCTGGCTTTTTGCTACTTTAAACTTTTAGTTAAGCTATTGCTACTTTTAGCTTTCAGATACTGTGATGGGCACGGCTAACCAAAAAAATTAGCTTTGCTATAATAACAAAATTAGCAGAAACTAACACTAAATGCTAACCTTTATCATCCACTGCTGTCGCTGTAAGACTGTCTGTAATGTGACAACACTGTAAGTGAACACAACTGAAAATGGTTCATAAATCAAAAGTAAAGCGTCCATGACCTGTTCAGAGACGAGCTTTCAGAAATTAATCCGGTCCATCGGAACCAAAGAGGCAGAACTCCGCTTTGCCGAGAGCGATGCATTCAATGTGTGTTGGACGTCTCCCTTGTGTCATTTGCTATACAAGCTGTTAAAATGATGACTTGTAACATGTACAGAAGTGCTGCCATTGAAAACTGGTACTGTTCGTTTTTTTATTTCCACTCTAGGGTGAACTGGACAGAGAGCGTTTCGGCGCTGATCTGAAGACGCTTGTGGAGAAGGACACCGGCTACAAGGCTGAGCTCAGGATATTTGTCAGCAAAGGTGAGCGGTGACTTCACTGTGACTGTACCTGAGCTTGTGTTGTTCACCTCTTTGTGTCTGTTTTGCCAGATTTACGTGTCTCCAGTTGTTATGGGTTGTTTGTGCCCGGTCCTAGTCCTGGACATATCACCATGGCAACAGTGGATGAGAAGACAACGCTGGCGGTAAACCTCACACACACCCGAGCTTTGGATGAGGCGAGAGGAGCGGCCGTACAGGTGGGTTTAAAAATCAACCAAAATGAGAAACAAGTTAAAATCAACAAAGTCTTTCTAAGATTAACTGGAATTTTTCTAAATGTACTTTTTTTTTTTTTTTAAACAAAAATGGTTCACGTAAGTCTTTAAGTAAAATGTCGGGATGGTAACTGAAGAATTGTTGTCTCCTCTCTGGTTCAGGTGGTCTTGTCCTACAGTTCCCTGACAGGCGAGAGGAGAACCAGAGTCCACACCCTGACCTTAAGATGCTCCCCCCACCTGCAGGACACGTTCAGGAACTACCAGGCCCAGACACTGCTCACCTTTTACTGCAAGAAGAGTAAGAAATCTGCTCTGCGGCGCTTGAAGTGCAGCAGCTGGAGCATGAAACTGTGTTTCTGCAGGGCTTTGGGTCATTAAGTGGATTCAGACACATTTAAGGCCTTAAATGGCATAAAAATTATTACATTTGAATCTCAGCAGCATTAAATATTTTCATTCGTTTTCCAGAAAAATAAGATGAGCGATATTAAAACTGGCTCATCAGCATGATGTTACATTAGAGTAACACGAGGAACCGTTATTGTTTCTGGTCGGTCGGTGCTCCATTGTCAGAAGATCGTTCGTTTGAAGGAAAACTTACAAAACAGAAACAAAAACCGTAAACTCCAGATAAAGTAGCTGCAAAACGAGGAATGTAGAGCGCGGCTGCAGCCCGTCAACGATCAGATGGTGAAGGATTTTGCAGCGTTTGTATTAAAGAAAACAAATTTTAAAAAGCCATAACGGTCAACATGTGAGCCGGTGTTGTGCCAAAAATTGTTTCTCTGCAGCGGGAGCGTGCACGGTGTCCGTCTCAGCTTGATTAGCTGTTTTTGCTGCTTTAGTTCTTCAATCAAACACTATTAATACTAAAAAGCAAATATTTGTACGACCAAGATTATAGTAAAGAAGTGTCTGTTTAGCTTTTAATTCTTTACCAAATAACTCGCAACGTTCTTTCCGTGAGCGTGTCGGATAAAGTCTTTATAAACCTTCAGTTTTACACGAGATTTCATCAAAATAAACGAGTTGAGGCGATGAATGATCTGTGGCACCACCCGAGCGCAGCATTAATCACATTTATTACAGAAAACAGGAACTTTGTATTAAGTTTAAAACATTACCTCACTCAAAAAGACTCGAGAAACTACGGAGCCCCGTAAGGGCCATGTTGGAAACAAATATTGCGATTCCATTAATTTACCTTGGGCTCTGAAGTGTGGGGGCAAATACCCGACTGTCACGAAGAGCAGCAGATCTAATGCGTCACATTAATTTAATTTAATTTAAAGTGTGGATTTTTGAGCTTTAGCACAGATTCTTGTGTCGTCTGCACCAAACAAATCACACTTTGAGAGCTGAAGCAGGTCTTGATAGACCTGCTGTCCACACTGTGGACACTCACTGCTCCTGTTCATTAGTTCACACACAGTTCGATCACGCTTAAGCTGTTGCATTCATCTGATGGACATGATCTAAGATAAAGTTCTTGACACGGTCTCTGATTAAAAGTTCTCTTTCGTTTTCGCTTGTTCTTGTTGTTGTGACAGTAAAGAAACGGTGATGCTCCACGCCTCTTTTGGTTCTGCAATGCTCGTTTAAATAAGTTTGAATTGAAAGGAAAAGCTTGCGAGCTAAGACTTCTGTAGAACAAAACAAAAAGTTGTGTAATAATAAGCACTCACTGTCGATGGCGTTAAAAATGTATTTAAAAAAAGGCACTCAATTGGCCTCAACAGTCGTTACATTTGATTGTCTGATTTCTGCAGGAACCCCGAGAGAAGTGCATCAAACTGCAGCAAAATGTTTTGTCTTGAATTTTTTCGATGAACACGTTTTACCCAGTTTTGATAAATTGACATGAACGCCCAACTTGTGTTTGTTCATACAAACATCAACTTCAGATGTTATTTCTCAATAAAAGGCTCCGTGGTTTACTCACTGCTGTGCAGCCACTATTACAATCTAATTTCCACCATATGCTCAGGACATACAGGAAAACTGATTCTCTTTTAACTTCTAAGAATGGAAATAGATTTACCGAAGATAAAAAGGTAAAGATAAAAGATAAAGTCATGCGTCATATACAAGAGTTAGACTTCCAGCTTGTTGTTTTTCAGTCACGCTCCAGAAGTAGGGGCAGAGGGTGGAGATGTGCACGAAGCGACGCTGACGGCTCTGCACGTGAGACAGGAAGTGCGTGAGGGAGGGCAGAGGGGAGCCGATGATCTTGCTGGTTGTATTCACGACACTCTTACGGCAGGAGGCGGTGCAGTGATGCAGCTGCATGATGGGGCTGGGACTCCTGCTCTCTGCAGTTTGGGCTTCTTTGGTTTGTGTTGCTGGACCAGGAGCGCTCCTCAGTGATGCACATACCTGTGAATGTTGCACTTCCCTCCTTATAAGAATCACAGTCTTCTCTGATTGGTTGCCTCCACTTGCCTTCTGTTCTAAAGAATTGTGTTTAACAGATACAAAGATAGTCTTCCCCTCTGAGTGCAGGATGAGTCATAACGTTAATGTTTTCCTGTAAATATTCATCATCTTGAATCCTTTAGGATGAATTAAACTCCTGCTTGTGTAGGATTTACCACGTAAAGAGGAAAAATGACACATTTTAAAATAAACAATGGATTAATTGATTGGGATGTAGAATTAGGAGTCGTGTGTTATTTTGGAGCCCGGTTAAACTGAAAGTTTTCCTCCTTGTGTCAAAGTGTACTGTGCCGTGCTGGAGCGTCCTCTGCAGGAGCTGAGGGAGGAGCTGCAGACGGATGTAACCGAAGCGTTGGCCTCTTACCGCAAACACTGCTGCTCCTCTTCAGCATCAGCTGGACAGGTGGGAGGACACACACAGGTGCACGAGATCAAACTCTGCTCAATGCACAAGACTTTGTTTTACTTCTTACTGCGCCGTGCTTGTTGTGCAGCTGGTTCTTCCTCGGTTCCTGCGAGCTCTTCCTGTTTACATCAACAGCCTGAGGAAGAGCGAGGTGCTGCTGCCAGGCCTGAGGAGCTCCGTCCACCAGAGGCTGCAGCAGCGCTGCCAGGTCCTCGGCCTCGACACCTGCAGCACCGTCAGACACTTCTACCCCCAGCTGCTGCCCGCGGTCTGTCCCAGTTAGTTTTCATCTGAGTCACTCTGCAGCTAAAGTTCGGCTTCACTCAGCTAAAAGACAACAAAGTTATTCATTTATCAGAGTTAGAGATTCTGAATTCTTAAAGCAGTTTTAGTGTCAGCAAAACTTTTGGTCCAGGTACGTGAGGTTTATGAGATATTTTAATTTATTTCAGTGTCAACATATGCTTTTTTCTTTTGGTATTTTAATTATAAGTGTGATGTTTATTAGGAAAATAATAATTTACATTTTAATGATTAAAAATGCAAAAAAGAATGGATTGTTTATTTCTGTAAGTCATGAATTATAAATAAATGTCACTCATGCTGAGAAAACAAAACATTACAAAAATAATCTCAACTAGAGAAACTGCATTTCCTGTGAAAATGAAATGTGAGTGCTTATTGCTGAAGAACCTGCTGAAAAACAGCTGAAATCAGCTAAAAAACATGCTGAATTTTAGCTGAAAAGGAAGACCAGCCTAAATTAGTAGAAGAAAGCAGAAAAAAATACATATTTGCCGAATTAGGTTTAAATCGGCAGAAATGAGCACAGAAATTACGGAATTAGCTTAAAAAAAGCTGAAATTAGCAAAAAATAGCTGAAAAGTAGCTGAATAGGCATAAAGATGTTTAAACTACCAGAAGGAAGTGGAAAAAGCTGAAATGAGCTAAAAAAAATGTGAAAATGGCTGAAAAAGATAAAAATAGCATAAAACAGCTAAATAGTAGCTGAAATAACTGAAACTAGGAGAACTAAGCTGAAAGGACCATAATGAGCTGAAATTAGTGGAAATAAGTTAATTACGTTGAAAGTAGCAGAAGTTACCACAGAAACTTGAATTTTTCTGAAAACAGCTGAAATTAGGTGAAAAATGCTAAAAGTGTAGCTGAAAATGTAGAACAAGCTTACATTAGCAGAAGAAAGTAGAAAAACACGTTTGGCCAATTGGGTTGAAAGAAGCATAAATGAGCACAAAAAAATGGAAATTATCTGAAAAAAAGCTGAAATTAGCACAAAACAGCTGAAAAGTAGCTAAAAAAGCAGAAAGAAGCTCAAGTTACCAGGGAAGTGGAGAGAGCACATTTTTGCTGAATTAGGCTGAAAAACGTTGAAACGAGTGCAAAAACGTGGAATTAGATGAAAAAGATCAAATTAGCATGAAACAGCTAAATAGTAACTGAAATAGCATTAAAAGCTGAAACTTGCAGAAATGAACTGAAAGGAGCACAAAAACAGCTGAACAAACAGCTGAAAGTAGCTGAATTTATTTTTAAATTTGCACAAAGAAGCTGAAGCAGAACAGAATGTGAAAGGAGCAGTAAAATGTAAACAGATCTAAAGATTTGAAGGATGTAAAATGAGCTCAGTTCATTTTCTGTGAGAAATAAAATGGCAGAAAAGACTAAATATTTTCAAAAAGCTAAAGCTGCACCAATACCAAAAGTCCTAGCAGGATTGTCCCGAAGGAGCTGAACGTTTTCATTCATGATTTGCTGAAATAGATTGAAAACGTTTGGAAGAAAACTGGATCACAAAGTGTGAATGCTTCATAAACGTTGGTAAATTACGATGGTAAACTTGTAGTTTTTCCTTCTGCCTGCGTGCCTTTGAGCAGAACATCTGCTTTCAGAAGCATTTAAGACATTCTGGACGTTTTGTGCTCCTCTTGACCTGCAGCCACGTTCAGCAGACGTGTCCAAGCCTCCGACTCCAGAGGAGGCGCTGCGCTGCACCGCTGCGAGCCTGGAGCCCGGCGGTCTCTACCTGCTTCACGCTCCCCTCACTCTGCTGCTCTGGGTGGGCAGCCAAGTCCCAGCATGCACTCTGGGTGAGCTCTTCAACACCAGCTGCTTTTCCTCTCTGCCGTCTGGAGAGGTGAGTGTTCACAAGCAAACCACACCTTTTACTTATAAAGAGATCAAACCAGCCAGGTGTTGGCTATAGATAATAAAATCAGTTTAAAGTTCAGAGCGTTAACACAACGACACGTTTGAGGTCTTCTGCGTATTTCTGATGTTTGTTTTTGTGTGTTCCTGCAGACCAAGCTGCCAGCTCTGGAAACTCCTCTCTCCATCAGCGTTCGATCTCTCATCAGTTCACTGAACTCCGAGGCGTCCTGCGCTCGCAAGGTTAGCTGCTGACACAACGGCATGACACACTACTCGAGTGCCATCTAGTGGCTGAAAATGGTAGTGCTCAATATTTTCAGTCAGAATTAATGAAAACGGTCATATTTCAGCCAAAAATTGTTTTATAAATATGGAGAAAATCCATAAATAAGTTGCTTCGGCGTATAAGTCGCAGGGCATGCAAATTAGGCAAAAAAACCTGCGGCCGAAAAATACGTTAATTTTATTGGCGTTTCAAGTTACCATGGCAACATAAATTGCGAACAAAGACGCATGAACAGCTTGATGGATGTTTTTGAAACTCACAGAAAGTAATCATCACATGTATCTCTAGAAGTGATTAAGTTCTGGAGCCATTTTGGTTCAAGATGGCTGCCACAGAAAACACAAAGTTGACTATAACTCAGTTACTGTTTGAGATATTGAGCTGAGATTTGGACGGTCGTAGCTGCGAGCGAACCCCAACACTGAGTGCTGTCGAATCAAAAATTTAAATTGTCTGCAGCATGACAGTCCCTGTCAAAGTTTCTCCAGGAACTTCTAGTTTGTTTAGTTGTTTTGGACTCTGTTACAGCCCAGTTCAGCAGCAGGACTTATTACAGCCACGCTGTTTATTAGATGAAGTTTAGCATCTTCTGCTGAAATATGCAAGGCCTTGCCTGAAGAAGACATCACGGGAAAATGGTTTTCTAAAACCTGTATAGTTTCTGCATTACTGGTGCTACACTGTCCATGAGGCAGGCACTAATGCACCCCCATACCATCAGAGAGGCAGAATTTTGAACTGAGCGCTGGCTGGATGGTTCCTCTCTTGAGCACAGAGGACGTGGAATTCAGAAGAATTTTGATTCATCTGACCACAGAACAGTTTTGATTTTAAAATGAGCTTTGGTTCAGAAAAGACGGCAGCATTTCAGAATAATGTCCACATACGGCTTCTTCTGTGAAAACAAAATATGAGATTTATAAATCAGAACATCCTGGTTTTCATTTATGTTTTACACACTTTCTAACTTTTTTTAGAAAGGGGGGTATCCTAATCCTAAATGACCCGAGATCTGTTCATCCTCAGTCCTGAAAACAGGCATCAATTTGATTGCCAGGCTGGTGCAAGAACTGTAAGAGAGCAGTATGATAACTGTATGAGAGCAGTATGAGAACTGCATGAGAATTGTATGAGAGCAGTATGGGAACTGCATGAGAGCAGCATGGGAACTGCATGAGAGTAGTATGAGAACTGCATGAGAACAGTATGAGCAGTATGAGAACTGTATGAGTAGTATGAGAACTGCATGAGAACATCACAAGAACAGTATGAGAACTGCATGATAAATGTATGAGAACACTATGAGAACTGTATGGGAACTGTATGAGAGCAGTATGAGAACAATATGAGAACTGTATGATAACAGTATGAGAACTGAATGGGAACTGTATGAGAGCAGTAAGAGAACTGAGAACTGCATGAGAATAGTATGAGAGCTGTATGAGAGCAGTATGAAATCAGTATGAGAACAATGAGAACAGTATGATAACTATATGAGAGCAATATGAGAACTGTATGAGAGCAGTATGATAACTGCATGAGAACACTGAGAACTGTATGAGAGCAATATGAGAAATGTTTGAGAGCAGTATGAGAACTGTATGAGAACTGTATGAGAACTGCATGAGAGCAGTATGAGAATAGTATGAGAACTGTATGAGAGCAGTTTGAGAACTATATAAGAGCAGTATGAGAATTGTATGAGAAATGTTTGAGAGCAGTATGAGAACTGCATGAGAAATGCATGAGAACTGCATGAAAACAGTATGAGAACTGCATGAGAACTATGATAACACTATGCTAACTATATGGGAACTGTATGAGAGCAGTATGAGTAGTATGAGAACTGTATGAGAGCAGTATGAGAACTGTATGAGGACAGTATGAGAGTAGAATGAGAATTGTATGAGAGCAGTATGGGAACTGCATGAGAACTGTATGAGAGTAGTATGAGAACTGCATGGGAACAATATGAGAACAGTATGAGTAGTATGAGAACTGCATGAGAGCATCATGAGAACTGCATGACAGCTGTATGAGAGCTGTATGAGAACTGCATGAGAGTAATTTGAGAACTGTATGAGAAATGTTTGTGCAAGAGAACTGCATGAAAACAATATGAGAACAGTATGAAAACTGAATGTGAGCTGTATGAGAGCAATATGAGAACTGCATGAGACTGCATACAAACTGCATGAGAGCAGTATGAGAACTGCATGAGAACTGTATGAGAACTGTATGAGAACAGTGAAAACTGAGAGCAGTTTGACAGCAGTATGAGAATGGTATGAGAATTGTATGAGAACAGTATAAGAACTGTATGAGA